CCCACGGGCTACCCAGTACAGAGCACCCCTCTGCCAGTCCAAGAAGAGATGCTGGATGCTGTTATGAGCACGGTACAGGATGCGTGGAGACATGTCAGATGCCTGGATCACCCCGATGTCCCTCCAGTTACACGCGAGCCAGTAGAGGTCCCCCGAGTGGATGTCCACACGAGCAGAACAGACTTGGCAAGAGTAGGCAGGCAAGCAGTTAAAGGTCTGTCCCATGACCCTTGTCCTTAGCCTGTGTCCCCCCCCATCCCTAAAATGAGGGTACAGCCACCCAGTGCCTTGGCACAGCCTCAGTATGGGCACCATGGGGCTGCTATGATCTGCACCCAGGAAATCCTCAGGGAGCAGCAGGAAGGGGAGCATCCCCTCCATCACTCCTCAGGGTCTCACCTGGCAGCCCAGTTGTAATGGCCTCTCTCCTGCCAGGGTGCCCCACAACACGCAGCAGTGTCCCACGGTCATCCGTCCCATAGAGAACTGACCTCTGCCAGTCCACGTCTTGCAGGTGGAGGGGTTCCTGCCACTCCTGCACTCGTTTGCTCTGTGCTCCAGGGCCCACCTGCACCAGGGAGATGGCTTTCCCTGCTGCATACACGATGGACAACTCTGCGGGGTACAAGTGTTGTGTGTGAGCATGGCCCCAGGGACAGTAGAAAGTGTCACCAGCAAGAACAAAGGCAGAAATGTAACAGTCCTGGTATGTGCTGGGAACTTCATCCCATCAAAGTCACCGCCCCTTACAGCCCCCGTGCCAACACACACAGGGATGCATCCCACCGCGGGCAGTTTAACCTGCCTTGCAGACCGTGCTCACCTGCACACTTCCCTGAGGACAGGAGGAAGAGACCCTCTGGACATGCACACTTGTAGCCTCGAGGGTGCACAGGGGACAGGAGGCAAAGGTGACTACACAGGCCCGGAGCACATGCAGCAGTGTCCCCTGGGAGCAAGGGGACATTAATAGCTCAAGCAGCAATAACCCACGCTCACACCTTTCCTGAACCCCAAAACCACAGGCTGTTCCCATGGCTGGATATCAGCCAGCTACCCCAGGCAGATGAGCAGTGTCACATGAGGTAGGAAGGTTCAACCTCTGACAAAAGCGATGAGACTTGGTGGCTTTCCTATGTTGCATGTCCCCTCTTTCACAACCCCTCGCCACAGGACCAGGGAAGCATTGGGCATGACCTGGTGAGTTCCAGGACCCAGCGCAGCCTCCCCTAGCACCCAGGGAGGTAGTGGGGGTGTTGCCAGCCCTGCACAGGCACCCGGATACTCACGGAGAGGCTGCTGCAGCACGTGAAGCACAGTGAAAGCTGAGACTGGGGCACGGAGCAACACTGCGTGCTCCTGGGGAGAGGCATGGGTGGCTGACACCAGCTCTGTGCCGTCAGTCCAGAAGAAGCGGCTTTCGAACACAGCCAGGCCCAGTGGCTCCGTGTGGCTCCGTAGGACAGCAGGGAAGGAGTGGCGCCCACCGCCATCCACTCGCAGCGTCTCGATGGACTGGGGACAAGGCAAGGCACGGTGACCATGTCGCAGCTCCACACCCCAGCACTGCCCTGCAGCCATGGGGCTCACAGGGGTGCCTCTCCCCTCCCAGCCCGGGGATGTATGCCAGACGTGGGCACCGCTCCTTGCCTCAGCCATAGCCACAGGGGAACCCTCCCCACTCCCACCTCATTGCCCCCCAGCACCTGGGGGGTGCAGAGCCCTACTGCCCCACATCCCTACCTCCTTGTACTCGCTGATCCAGTACAGCCGGCTGGCCACATGGTCCACACTCAGCCCCACGGGCTCCTCCATGGACACTACTGTGAGCTCCCGACGGTTTGAGCCATCCATGCCAGCTGCAGCAATGACTGTCCGGCCTCTCTGCCCACGGTTGACCCAGTACAAAGACCTGGGGGCAGGCACTAAGCACCCACTTCACCACGTAACACCAGTGCTGCCACAGCCCCACAGCAGGCACGACGTGGTCAGCACCAGCATTGCTCTCTCAGGAGTCCAGGACCACACCTGGCTCATTCACTCCTCACCTTGCAGCCGGATGCACTGTCAGCTGCTCCGGTGCCACGTCCTTCCCCAGTACCATCACATAGCCCCGGCCATCGCCCAGCCCTGCGCAGATGGCTGCAGGGTGGCTGCTGGCCCAGTACAGCTGCCCTGTGAACCAGTCCACGGAGATGCTGTTCACTTCTCCAGCATCTGCAGAGATAGAGCATTTTAAGGCACACTACTCTTGCTGCAGGCTGGGAGGCAAAACCCGGATTACCCCCTTTTTATGGGAAAAGTAGGGCTGGGGTAGCAGGCCAGCTCTCAGCACCCATCTCAGCCCCACTGCAAGGCCCAGCACCCTTGCTCCTCCCCACCTGCATAGAGGGGTCGTGTGCCCTTCCCTGGGACATGAGTCTGGAGCTCGCCATCCTCTGTCAGCCAGTAGTAGGTTTCTCTGAGCAAGTCATACTCCAGGGCACGAGGTTCAGTCTCAGTGGAGAGCAGGGGCCGATAGGCTTGGGTTCGCACATCCAGAAGGGCCAGGTCCTGCCCCACGGCCACCAGGAGCTGCGTTGCATTGTCTGTCAGGATGAGGGGAGATGTTACTCGGTGAGGGGAGAAGCAGCTAGTTGAAGGCACTGCGTGGCCCCTTGGACAGCCCAGGCACCCTGGGTCAACCTCCCCTGCCACTTCACAGGCGGTGCCATGCCACAGGGTGTAGCCCTGGAGGCAAGAGCAGCTGAAAGATCCCGGGGTGTTGCTGCATATCTGGCTGCACGGACTGTATTCCAGGGAGCACTCATCCACATCTGTGGGGATAGGCACAGCCAGGAGCCCGCTGCACAGCTGTCTGTCTGCCCCTAGACAGCACAGCCACTGCTCCCCAGGGACCACAGGCAGGCTCCTTAGGATCTGGGCCCCAGCCTTTGTAGGGCCGAGCGTGACAAGCAGGCAGGAGCAAGGCTGGCTCAGGGGAGACCCTGCTCTTGGAGGCCAAGCTGCATGTGCCCTAAAAGTGTGCACACCCCAACCTCTCCTTACCAGCACAGCTCTGGCCATCGGCCTGCAGCACCCAGCCAGCCTCACAGGAGCACTGCACCCCCCAGTGTGTGTCAGTGCACGTCTCCGCGCAGCCTCCATTGCGCACAAAGCAGCTCCGACCTGCAGGGACACAGTGGGTAGATGTCGTGACACAGGATAGCTCTGCGGGTCCCCTTGCCCCCAGCCATGCAGGCAGCAGCCATCAGCCACACGCATCTCACCGCATGTGCTGGGCTCATCAGTGCCATCCAAGCAGTCATCCTCATCATTGCACATCAAGGACTCCAGGATACACTTCCCCTCATCACATCGCACCATGCCAGGTGGGCAGGGGGCTATGGTATACACAGTTCATGTCAGGAGGACAGACCAATGTCAAGTGGGCACAGGGGAAGCCACAGGTCCCAGACTCATGGGGAGGCCCCGCAAAGCATCAACAGTTTTCTGGGATGCTTACCACCATCCCAAGGAGAGCTGGGACACAAGAAGGCAAAGTACCCCCTAGTTTACACATGGCCTGCATAGGTCTCATCCCACCGAGAAGCATCTAGAGTGCTCACTTACCGCAGACATCTTCATCTGAGGAATCACCACAGTCATCAATCCCATTGCACTTCCACTCAGCCATGATGCACACCCTGTTCCTGCACTGCCACTGCTCAGGCAGGCAGGGCTGATGGGGACACCCCTCCTCATCCCAGCCGTCCTCACAGTCCTGGTGTCGATCGCACAGCTCCCAGTGTGGAATGCAGTGGTGGGTGCCCGGGCACTGCACCTTCTTTGGCCCGCACACTGAGGGAACAGAGCAACACTCATACACTGCCCTGTGCCTCCAGTCACACCCACTCAGCTCCCCCAGCAGAGGCTACGTACCACAGTCCTGCTCATCAGAGCCATCCAGGCAGTCAGCAACACTGTCGCAACGCCAGCTGCTAGAAACACACCGGCCATCGTCACACTGCCAGATGTGGGGGTCCCCACCACAGGCAACATCTGGAGGGACAGCACACAGTCACTGGGACCTACCCCTCCAGCACAAGCACAAGTGTCTCTTCTGTCCTGACACGGGGCAGATCCTGGCAATACTCGAGGGGATCTGCAAAGGGGCTGGCCCACAGCAGCCCCCAACAGCGCTCTCCAGCAGGCAGGGGGCTTCCTCGCCCAGCCTAGGATCCGAGATATATCCCCGTGCCACAGACATCCCCTGTGAGCTCTGGGACACTCACATCCCTGCAGGGTGCCACATAGGGGCAGAGCCGTCAAGGAGTGAAGTGCTTCTGGCCTGCCGCGGGCCCCCCTCGCCGCCCC